ATTATATCATATGTTGCGTGACATGCAATATGAATTTACAGAAATTGTTCCAATTCAGAAGCCAAAATTTCTTATTTGTATGTTTGTATTTATATGCATGTAATATGCATACATGTCCTTCAGGGACATTAACAGATGGAAGCATTCAGAAAAAATCTACATTATTAAATACTTTAAGATTGTAACACTCTTTAAATGAATTCACACCAAGAATGTTTTTAAATATTACTGTTTTTTATTATTATAATATATTATAGTATTAATAATCTATTACTGCATTACTATATATTACTGATTTTCCTACATGTATTTATTTCATCCGTTCCATTGCTTTGAGCTGATACTACATTCCGTCTAAGTTGCTGACAAAATATTGGAAAAATCAAATTGATTTTCTCAAAAATTCCAATGTACGAGGGTTGTCCGTAGACAACATTGCTAATTACTGACAAACATTGACAAAATATTTGAAGCTATTATTTTCATTAAATAAATGTTTCGTTTTTTAAATATGCAGGTTTTCAACATAAACGAAGCACAAATAGTTATATTTTAATCAGATACAAAAAGTACACATACCCGGAGCACTAAAAGGAAAATCCTTGACGCTACCCGACGTCAAAAGCTACATACGAGCACACGTAACTTTTCTCAACATAGTCAGCGTTTAACTCGATACATTTCTTATGATGTTTTAACAAGTACCGTTTAAGTGGAAATTTTAGCGAGACGCAAATTTATCGATTTCTCCTTAAAAATGTGTAATTTATTTTTAGCGAGAAGTAATTTTAGCGATTTTAAAAAGTTAACTAAAGAAACTATAGCAAATAAAACGCAATTTATATTTAGCGATATTCAATTTTAGCGATATCAGCACCCTCGCTAATAATGCCAAAATTAAATCCTCGCTAAAAATTCTACTTATACGGTAATTACAGTATGCACAAAATGTTCAGGTTACCGTTTTATTCGTTAGATAATATTTAACAATGTCAATTTGACATCCTGCAATCATCCAACCACTGTCCGTGTAAAGACGATTTTATTTACGGAAATACGGCATGATCGCGTTACGAAATTCATTTATTACAGCACTGCAATCTCGGAATAATGGTTTTTTTTCCATGCATATCATCCTGTAAACTGTTTATTCCGCCAGAAAATATTATATTCCGCTTAAATACTAGTCAAGACTTCTTTACCTCTGTTTACAGAATGTGTTGGTTTCTGTAGATGTTTTTCCGATGTTAGCACAGAATTGTATCACTGTTCACTGCTCCAAATATTCCAAAATCGTCTCTTTTTGGAACGATTTCGATCCTGTCGAAATGTTCTAACTTTGATTGCTCAGTCGTTTTGAAACTTTGAAAGTTCAAATTTTGCAAGTTTGACGTGATAAGTTCTGTCAACCTCATAATATAAAATTCGTTCAAATTGCCCAAATATTTTATAAAATAAAAATGAAATTTATAAAGTGATAAATATTTTTTGTAATTAAAATTTTGCGGTGCTCCGGGTCTACATTCCAAATCTAATTACGAAGCCATAGTTGAAATTTCACATTTGAAATTGAACAAAGAACGAGCGCAGTTATGGGCCCCGGTAAAATGTCAGAAATAAAGAATCAAATAAAACAAAAGTTTTCATATCAAATTATTAATTGATATCTAAACCATACGATTCAATTACTTTTACCACTGAAAATGGTTATCATTAATATACAAAGAGCAAAGCCATACAATGTGGTAGGGGTCAGTAAACATTTGTGATTTTCTATTGTAGATCGAGAAGGGTAATTCATTTCTAAACTTTTGTTTACTATGAGCCTAACGTTGTGCAATTTTGTGCGAATGACAATAGCCGCTTTATATACTTATACAAAAAGGTGAAAGTAGGAAGTTTGCAAAAGATTAGGCTGGTACCTGAAATATTAAAAATGTATTAAAAGTTCAATGTTTTCCTATAGGAAAGGACAACTATTTACCTGTATGACCTTAGTTGACCCAACCCGTGGACTATATTATTTAAAATACTGATAGTCACGTGAGTTCTACCCAAGTAAACATTCCTCAAAGGTGCTCAATGCGTAGCCACACTTTGTATCATTAAAGTCCTGCCGCCTAGAGATATTTGTATGTATTTGGTTTTAGAAACACTTGAGGGTAAAGAAAGTGTCGTTTGTAAAAGTGTCAACATTTTTATCGTTCATGCAAGACAATGAGACAGTATTGAAGTCCACCTAAATACTCTTGTATAATTCCAAAATTTAAAGAAACTAATATAAATACTTATATTTTTTTATGCAAGCGTGCAATTAAGTTGTTTAACACTTCGGGCATCTACACAACCTCATTCGAATTTTAAAAATATAAAACAGAGGAAGAAGTATCATTCGGTAAACGCTCCCGTCGCTGATCCGCCATCAGATGGTTCAAGTCTCCAACCTTGATTTAAATAAACGAAACTCAAAGTGCATTCGGTACGGCTTTTCCGAATGTGGGTTTATATAGGCATTTTAAAAAATTCAATTGTTTTAAATCCATGCTGATTTAAGTGAAGCTTAACGTGCTTTTTTAATCAGAAATGTCCATTAGTGTTTAACAATTACCGAAAGAGAACGATTCGGAAATATAGTCTTAGAAAAATCGGCACAGAAAAAGGGCCCATCAAGTATTGCTTAAGTGCACTTGTCCTTTTTACATTATTCAATTGACATTTAGTAAATAATTAGAAATATGCCAATAAGAAATATCAATGACACAAATTTTATAAATTTGTAAGATTGTCCACGAACTTTACGGACACCCCTCGTATATATATTTAAAGGAAAAATCAATTGATTTCTCAAAAATTGCAATGTATATACATGTATATTTATTGGAGAAATCAGTTTGATTTATACATATAGGTACTTTGAAACTTGATACTGGAGAAATCAATTTAATTTAAGCATAAAATATTTACATTTGCAAAACTTTTTCTTTGATGAAACTATTGAAGAGAAGATAAGTTAAATTCATAGTGTGACCGATCACAGAGAGAGAGATGATATCTTATATCTATCTGGTTTCGGAACTAGTCTACTTAGTTAAATGCGCTAAAACAATATAATAATTGAAAGATATAACTTTTTTTTAATCAATTGATGTTCAATAGATCTTTCTTCGGGCTTCACATGATCACGTGACCAATTACGTTAATTTCCCAAAGAACTTTTTAACATTAAGGTTTATTTCTAAATCAATTTTTTTTAAAAAAAACTTCGTTGAATTCAAATTGAAGTTATTCTCCAATATTTAAGGCTTCATGGGAAGCCTGTTCACTTTGGGTATTGGGGAATAGGAGCATTCTATCAATTAAAATTTTATACATACTAATAAAAAAGAAAAGAAAATAGTTTCCAAAGGGTTTTATAAACAGCGTGGATGAGAAGTGTAACATCAGTTACGTTTATAACTTTATATTACTTAGTAGCAATATGTTTTATCAAGGGAGGGGTTTCACTCATATAATTTATTTATCCATTAAATATTGACACAAAAACACAACCACCCTTCCGACTTTCTATGGTCTTCTGAAGAAAAACACAAAATCATAAAAAAAATCATATGTAATGATCTTAAAAGGGGCTGCTCTCTTTCATTTCAAAAAATATATTTACCTTTAAATCCAATTTTAAATTCTGGAAGGTAAACTTATAATCTTTCCAACCTGCGCAAGGGTCACGTGTTACATATGTTTGTCATTGGAAATGAACAAATCCGTGCTTTTTCTCGACTAAAAGATAAAATCGCCTAAACTATTTTTATTATGTATAGAATAATATAGCATCTTATATTAAATTCCGGAATATTTGTGAATTTTACCGTAGGACATTTAAAGATCAGTGCAAAATATTTTTCACTTTCGTTTCATTGTTGTGATTTTATTTAAGTTATGTAACGGAGAACATGAAATATGCATTGCTACAGTAAGTTTTCAAGCAATTTTTTTACCAAATGAATTTATTATCACATGATTGTTTTATTCTAGGTATTGGTTTTTTTAATAGAAATATTTTAAAAGAATATAAATGAAAATGCGTTGCAAAATATATTGAATTATGTGATGTTTACTCTTGTATATCTTTCAAAAATAATTATTTATATCATGCAGCTATAGCCGAATTAAAAAACTTTATAGGTACGGCTTAGTTATCAAACATTGATCTATAAACCATAATTCATTTTATATATCATTGATCTCACAAATTATGAAAAAAGTTACCTGTTTCCTTTGTCATAACAAATATGTATTGACCTTCGAATCATTTTATGTCATTTACATTTTTTGGACTAAAGCACAAAGTATACGATTAGTTTTCGTTCAATCTTGAACCTTGAACTTGTTTCCTATCAAAAATACTGAAAATGACGATTGAACCTTCTATATTAGGATCAAATGGGGTTCATCCACCCAGATACATCCTAATGTCAAATCCTGTAATGAGCTCTTAAATCGCAGGTTTTTCAGATTTTTTCATCAATTTAAACCTTACCTGGAGTGCTGCATTCTGCCTACTTTAATATTTCCATTTTTCCGGAAAATGAGATGTCATTTAAGATTTTAAAAGCATAGGCTATAGCAAAAAAGTGTCAAAAGTTGATACAAATTTAGTATACCATAAACGTATTTCTTTTTGACTCAGTAGAGTCTTCGTGGGCCATCAATCTCTGGATAAGTAAATATTTTCAAATGAAGGTTTTCATGGAATGTATTTTTATAAGTAACATGACTGTCTTGTAGATATTAATTGAATTCTGTGGAACATTTGAATTGGTGTATCATGGCAGCCGCAAACAGTCCGTACAGTTCAACAGAAGAGACAACGAATGCTAACAGGGCTTGTCGTCTTCTGCTTGGACCCTGTACCGATCAATTAAGAGATGTTCTTCGCAAAGAGGTTCCACCTTCCACATTTGCCACGGAAATTATGAAGCAAAAGCATAATCTACCAAGATTAACTCTACAACAGAGAAACATCATTTTGCCTCAAAATGGGTCATATTCTGGAACTTATGATGACTATGATATTTCACTGTTGTACATTCTTTTACGGAATATATGTAACATCACACCCCATAAAAAGGGTTGGGGTAATATACCGGATGTAAGTGATGCATGTCTTTCTGCAAATATCGAAAGGATACGAGAGGCGCGAAACAGCACTGTCCATTCTGCAAAACCTTCCCTTTCAATAACCGAATTTAACGATATATGGACATACGTTCGAGCTGCGGTAGTAGCAATTGATGCATACCTTTCTAATGGACGTCTCTATGAGAGGAATGTTGACATTTTGAGAAAAGAAACAATGGATCCTGTCCAAGACAAATATTATAGAGATCAACTCACCAAACAATATGCTGATGATCAAGAATGCATTCGAAAACTCGATGGTATGTTCCTTTTCTTAAAATATAACAAAACGGTAAACTTGATTTAATAGTAAAACTTCCACACAATGGAATCTCAAAACAAGCATCAAGTGTAAATTTTCTGCAGACGAATTTACACATAATGTTTCAAACATATCTTCGCTGTAGTCAAAAAACATCAATCATTTTTTTTTCAGATCTGTAAAATAAAGTCTGTTATGAAAGTTCATTCTAATTTTTTTTTCATTTTAGAAAAGAAACGAGATCTTATTATTTGTGATGTCTTATGTTCAAAGAGTTTATTCTTGTTACTGATAAGTTTCTAACTGTGTTTTTGAACGAAAAGGAGAGGGAAGGTATTGAAACAGATGGCGTGCGTGCAGAAAAACGGATGTAACACATATTTATTGAACATTTAAAGCACATAGTACAACATATCCTTTCAAAAACCTGCGCAAAATTTATGAAATTAGCATGGAATTCCAATGTAAAAAAGGGACTTATCCTTCTTTTACTTAAGCTTATATTATCAGTCTTGCACGATGCAAGATGAGCAAAATCTTTTAGTTATGTTGGGCTGCAAAATGGAACCCTCAGTCAAATACTAGTTTGAAATTTTCAAACAGTGTCCATTTTTATGCCCTGTTGAAAAAAAAAAATTGTAGATTTTCATGAGATCAATCACTGTTCGCTATCTGGGCCCTTGTCATCGGGGTAATTTTTAAGTCAAACTGTCTGCTAAGAAACAATGGTATTTCTTGCATAACCAGCATATCTAATCGATTATTTGTGTAAGCTCTTAAAGGCACTACCTTTCACGTTATTTTACCCCACAGATACAAGAATCAAAGCCTTCATAAATCGCTACTGTGCAATTTTTAGGACATGTATTTGCACGATTAATATTGATTAGAATTGTATGAACCTTACGTTTTATCAGTTCAATGTAGAAATAATATTGTCCTATTTTTATAAATGCATTGCAATAAAATCTTAACTTCAAAAGAGAGCAAAATAATTAAAATATTTTTTTGCAAGCTAAATGAGAAAGTGTTACAACGGTCAAACGACTAGTTTCCTTATAGATCTAATACGCAAAGTATCCAATTATTAACCATATCTGCAATGGAAATATAAATGATATTTTTTAAGCAAGGAAAGGCAATATCCTGCATAGCATTGTGATTGTTAGCTAGGTGTAAGAGAAATACAATATAAATAGTTGCTTTAGTATTTATGCAATAGTAATTATTGCGGACAGAAGACTTATTTGTTCGTTTGAATATATTAGAAAACTTTAAAATGAATGAAATGGTACGAAAGACCATTTAGGACGTATCAAAAATATTTTTGAATTCGATATAACAAATAGTCGAATTTGTTATAATTAATTTCATTCGGTAACACAATTTCTTTAAATTCGTTATAATGAATTTAACGTGTTATAACGAATTTGTTGAATTTGTTAAAGCGAATTAAAAATTTTGTTTATACGAATTTTACTCGTTTTAACGAATTCTAAAACTTGATAAAACGAAAAAATTCCGTTAAATCATTCCTTCATTTATGACAAATAAAATTCGTTACACAAATTCTAGAAATCTTTAAAGCGTATTCATATATTCTTTGCTACATACCCTGATTGTTGAAATCGATAAGACAAATATAATTTGCTATAATATAACTTTAGAATTTAAACGAGCTTAATTTGTTATGAAAAATTTTAGAATTTGTTGTAACGAATTTAATTTGTTATTACATATTTCGATATCGTTATAACGAATTCAATAAAGAACAAAGTATTGTTTCAATACAATATTTTTCTGTGATTTTCTTAAATATGAAACTGATGTAAAAATGAAAACTGGTGCTTTCTGAATCATTGAAATTCCATTCAGAAAAATCATACAAATCATTTTTCTCGCATGCATTTCTAAATGCTAATTGAGACGTTAAAACATCTGCAGTTTCCCCATCGTTTGTTAAAAAGTTGTAGAAGACACCAATTTTCAGTGGGATTTTCCTTCATATAATAGTGTTCACAGGCATCGACCACAACGATTTTGAAATATATGATTTTTCATTGAATATTGCACAACATATCAAAACAATAAAATAGGGGACAGCCGTTGGCAATATTTTCTGAAGGACAATTACCCTTGAAATAGGTAATTTTGAGACATTTCAGTTAAAAATAGAGAAATTGCGTCAAATCAAATCAACGTCATATTTCCAGAATGGTACTCCCTTATGTCATATTCTTTCCTGATCTATTCTAGTCATAAATTCAACTAATATTTGAGCCAGTTTCAAAACTTTTTGAAAACATTAAATTTATGGATGCATAAAAGCTAAAAGTGTTTTTTCCTCTTTAATTGTTATAACAGATTAAAATCGTTATTATGAATATAAAGAAATTGTTATAACTAAAAAAAATTCATTACATCAAAATCGACAATTCAATATATCAAATTCCAAATATTTTTGGTAGGTCCTAAATGGCGTTTATTTTTATGGTGCTAAAAACTATGTAAAATCTCTTGATCAATCGTCCATTCGCGAATTATTGTTCTCGCAATTTGACGTTGAAGTACCCATTCCCGATACAAAGTACTCGCTAAAAATAAGGAATTTATAGTACGCATTTCTTGCTTTGTTGTTAATTTCAAAGAGAAAAACCAATAATTCTGTTCACTAATAGTACAATATTTCATTTCAGAAAACATTAAAAGTTACCATGAGGAAACATCAAGCAAGATAAGTCATCTTGAAGGTTAGATACCTACATTTTCACAAAATCCTTAGACTAAGACCAAAGGTATTTTTAATCATAATTACGTAATCGAAGGTTCGGGGATGAAGAGTTTTTGCCTTGTTTTTCCGTCTTTCTGCCTGTTTGTTTGGCTCTGTGATTCTTTTTTTTTGTTTATCCGCGAGAACTTTTTTTTTTTGCCGATTTTTGATATCAGGGGGTGATTGCTTTCAGATTTCATATCTGTATCACTTTTGGCACGGCCTTCCATTGGGTACCGATAGTTTTGACATTGGAGTTTTACCCACTTTTGCAAGAAAAGATTTCATAGCCTTGGTCATTTCTTTTCACAGTTTGGGGTATTCTTCATACTTGTTTTCATTGTTGCACAACAAATAATTTTAACCTTTTGACCTTTGTGTTTGACATCTGAAAAATAACCTTAAACTTTTTAAACAGTTAAAACTTAGGTTTTCATTTAATGCAGTTGTATTCTTTTTAACAAACCTTCGTTTGGATAACAACGATTTTAATCTTTTACAATGTCCTTGGAGATTGGCCTACTTATAAACTAAACCCTAGATAATTTTTGTTTAAAAAGTTGGTACTTCTGTTTTAATATTTTACATGTATGTCTATTAAGAACTGACCTATCCTTTAGGTATCTTAATTTGACCCTTGATGTTCGACCTTCATCTTAAAAAGTCCAAAGGCATTAATAAGAAAACATCTCAAGTTTTTGGATGTTTAGGGAGATATTTTGATTCTAGGATAATAAAGGATTGAAAAGGACTTTTACATGGATTCATGTTGAATTTTAATTTACTCATGATATTTATTAGTGGTTAGAATCCTGTTGAAATAGAAAATAATTTTATTGAAACCAATTTACCCAAAACGACAACAAACTATAATATCCAGCTTATTATGATTACTGGTCAAAATTCATATCAAGAAACTGGAGGCCACATTTTTCACCTGGGCAAGTTGGTTATAAAAAGCAGAATTCAGCTGAGTATTGAAACATTTAAAGAACTACATCACTACTCTTGATTCCTGCCTACATTTTACACCTATTTAATTCAATATTATTGACAATTTTTGCCCAAAACTCTTTGTTGAATGAAAAAATCTGTTCAATCATAATTGATTATGAATTTAATTTGATTAATAATTTTGATACCAGTGTAAAATTGTTAATTATCCCTTATTCTAGTTCTTTAAAAAAGGGAGGTAGGCGATATTTTCCGTTGAAACCGGGCTTTAAACCATCACCGTATTTTTTGTATGTTTTAAGCATATGAAATAAAACATATATTATGAATAAAATACTATTATATAGTCTGTGCTATTTTTTGTACTTTTTGGTAAAATTGTAGCGTACGTGATAAAACCATCAAGTGCCTAAAGCAAAAATTGATGAACTCCTGTACATATTTTCATGCGACAGGAGCAAATGTCAAAGCATTTTAATAATACCTGGTTATTCTGTTCATTTTATTTTCAAATAAACAATTGCAAATTGTGTTTAAAAAATTGAAATGATACTCTTTCTAGTTTAAATTTCAATCTACATATTTCGTACAACACTAAAACTTTGTTAGAGCAAGAACAAGAAAAGAGATCAAAAAACTTGGACAGTTTAATCACTTGTGTACGTTCTCAGAAGGGATAGTTATTGTATTAACGAAAATCTTAACTTTGTTTAATTTTATTTTGGGTTCAGCAGGGGGATGTGAGAGGTCTTTTAGAGAATAATATGGTATATGGATGTACATGTATGCAGTTGCAAGTGTGCATGTGCAATTTAATCAATAAAATGCTTTCTGTGGTTGTTAGAGGAGGAATCAATGTCGCAGCTGCTGCAGAAAAAATACATAACCCTCGTTAACGGCTTTCGTAATTTTCTTTCCATTGCTGTAATGTAAATTCCTGTCGAACAACCAAAGAAACGCATTTTATTGTTTATATTTATATCTGAAAAAATAATCATATCAAGTATAATAAAATTAGTTCATTATTGTATTATTGACATGCACATCACAGTATGTTTCACTAGTGGATCAGTCACTGATCAAAAAACTTGTGTACGTGATATGCCAAGCGTTGTTCACTGAAAAATGGTAATAGTTTTTAAGGAAAAAAGGAAAAATATTCAGTGGATGATATATATATATATATATATATATATATATATATATATATATATATATATATATATATATATATATATATATATATATATATATATATATATATATATATATATGGCAACAAGAAAGTTGTTGTCCCTTCTTTTGTACATAGGCCAATTTTCCATTTGCAGCTAGACAAACCAGTCTAGAGGAACAATGGAATTTGTCTTCACTAGGCCAGAATGAGCATCCCAAATTATTTTGTATTCCAGAAAACATCAGAGGTATTTTTATCTAACACACAAATATTTTGACACACAAATATCATATATGTAAGTAAGTAAGTAAATATTTTATTATAGTGACATGTGTATAATATAAACAAGTAAATACAATATAAACGTATATACATCACATCTGGCCCATTGGACCTATATGTCACTTTAATATATGTACAGTAATATATGAATAAGGTCTAGATGACAGACAAAAATCGTTCTTATTAGCCAAAATCGAAGCGTCGTGTTGGGATTGAAAAAAATGAATGCAGTTATCTACGCCTATTCCCTTCAAAGAAATGTACATGGCTTTTATTTTTATGTAAGAGAGGAAAATTCTTCTTTGGGAGATCCAAATCCTGTTTTCTTATCTTCTATATAGAAATTTAGTAACGCTGATATTCTAGGCAGTTGACGATGACTTGCAAGATGAAAGTGATATGCGTAAATACTGGGTATTTAAATTGAAGCCTTGAATGGAGCCTTAATGAACAAATAACATATTTAGTAAAGGAGGTTTATAATTTCTAAGGCATATTTTCATTATTAAGTAACCAGAATGAATTATGCATTTTAAACTCTTCTCAAGAACAATTTATTTTGTGCGATTTTTGGGGTGGGGGTAGGGTGGTGGTTTCTATGCATTTCAAAGGTTTCATAGAGGCCTAATTTATGAAACAATCAATTCTTGTCTAGGTGGTATATGTTTTAGCGATGTATTCAATAACCTTGAATCTGTAAAATATAGCTGTAGCGCAATCTAATTTAATTTAACATTCAATGCACTTTTACGAAAACGAACAATTCATGACATAGCATTCAAACGTAGCATCTTATAACCAGAGGGGAAGCCAAACGTAGCAATTACAAGTGCCAAGGGTAGCATACGGTATCCATATTCGCTTTGTTATCAGAAAACATTATATTGCATCAAAAGTTAAAATCTTATGAAACATTACAAACATATAAAATAATAAACAATTTAAATACTATATTATTGCATCACTTTTAACTCAAATAATGTAGTAGAATTCGTGTTCAAAATGTAAACTGGAAATATGAGCAGATCCGGTTAAACACATACAACGGGTGTATTCTAAAGCAGTTACTGATTGCTCCTTCCACGCATGTGATCAACCAACAAGCAATTTTTATTTTTCGGCTTTCTGCAAATTATAAAACCTGATGAGTTCAGAGTAGCTCTGGCGATGGCTCTGGCGAGAGTTACCGAGACTAAAGCGAGATAGGGTTAATTATTTACGGAAATGTGGCTAGGAAGTGGCTTGCTCGTGGAGACATGGTAAACAGAAAAGTTATGTTGCGTTTCAGTTTTCACCACCTTATAATATCTGTAGAAATGTACTTCAATCGATCCCTCTTGAATCAATTCAAACTTAGATAAGTATTCTCTATGATACAAGTTCTGCAGTCATGAATTAAAATTTCTTTTAGGACAGATATTCTTGCATGGGAACCGGAACTATATTTTTTGCGTCAGATTAGCAATAGAGGCACCAACATGTCTTTAACTGATACTACGAATACTACAAGAAATTTACGCTCGAAAGAAAAGGAAAATCTTATGGCGATTGGAAAGGAACAAAGACCATTTTTCCATCCATTTCTTAAATGAAAAATATTTTTTTAAATTATATTATTTTCATGCTCAAAATGACAAACAATTTATTTGTTAAATAAACGATGGAGGTCTAGGTTTCTCAAAGTCATGCTGCAATTGAAAGCGATTTGCGTCTCTTTTTCTTTTGTTGTACTATTAGTGAACTGGTGAATACAATTGTCAGGTGGATTCCCTGGCAAAAACACGTAATCACGAATATAGTTATGTAAAAAATGTTTTGTCCATTTAAATGCATAAGAGATGCTCCTCGTTTTCCTTACCCTTGTTGAGGCGCTGGTGTTCTGAACTTGACACAAAGTACATTTACCTAAACATATTTTTGTCTAATTAACCAAAGAAACGCCCTTGACATCTTTCATACCTTCTAATCTTTGTATTTTGTTCATAAGAACATTTTTATTTATTTTGCACTGCATTGACATGATCATAGACTGACCTGAACCACGTGTTCGAAGTAAAATATAAACATGTATTTGGTTAAATATTGCTATTCAACGATTTGTATCGTATAATATTACGCATTTTTACCCGCGTGTCGGTCGCATATGTGCTCTAATTTTCACCATAATTTATGATAAGATATATTGTTATTTTAACTCACCCTCCTTTTAGCCACCTTTTTGTTTTGAAATTCATGAATGTCTTTCAGAAAGGTCTGGAATCATATTTTGCATAGAACATTTTTTCAAAAGAAACAGACGGTATTCAAACAGACTATACCAATTTCCTGTTCACTGCCAATTTTATTTATAAAACAGGTTACATCATAAAACTTTTGAATGGGTCAACTTTTTTAAATCTAATTTTTGAATTAAATCACAATAACATTAACAAGGGTGTATTCTACCTCATAAAATCATACTGAACGCTAATAATAGTTTTGGAGAAGGCGTGTTCTCATAATTTGCGGGTTTCACATTTTCTGTCACTTTGTATCACAAATGGCTCTAACGAACTTGAAATGTAAACAATTAGAAAGCTCACAAATCAAGGGCTGATTAGATAAATTAAGTATTATAAATCAAGTATTATTACTATAATTGCAAGAATTCAATTTCAGGATTTACAAAAAATACTGTATTGAGAATTTTGATTCAACTAAATATTTCTATTTTCAGATCACCACAAACGAACATTACAATCTTGGGAGAAGGACGTCTTTTATGAAACGTCTTATTTTAAAGACGTAAAAGACTTTTTTATTGCCCACCAAACTGTTGTTGTGGTTGGATCTCCCGGGTCCGGAAAAACTGCTTTGATCCGCCACATCGCTTTACAGCTGGAGGCCCAATATCAGATTGTTCCAATCTCCAAACCTGAGGACATCATCACATATGGTGACATCAAAATATCTCAAATATTTATCATTGATGATGTTTTAGGCGTGTTTACTTTAGAGAGAAATTTGTTGTCAGATTTAGAAAGACACAGCATGCAAATTGAAAGCGTTCTGGATGTAAAAACAAGGAAATCAAAATTATTAATGTCATGCAGATTAGCAGTTTATAACGAGGCAAAGGAATTAGATGTAGCGTTTTTTGAGGAAAATAATATCCTCAGTTTGGATAGTAAAGATACCAGCCTTACACCGGAAGATCGAAAAGGCATATTTGAATCTCACATAAAGAATGTAGGGATTTCATGTTTCATTGAAGCTAAACTTCTTCATGAAAAAAAAATATTTATGTTTCCACTTCTATGTCAAGTCTTTAGCTGTGATAAAAGCATCAGGAAATATGGAACTGACTTTTTTAAATATCCAGCTAAGTGCTTGCTTACAGAAATAGGTAAAATTCAGAAAAGAAACAGTATGCAATATTTATCTATGGTTCTCTGCATGCTTAACAATAATTGCCTATCTGAAACAAAACTGAATGATAAAAGAAAATTAGAAAGTGTTTGCAGATCTTGTAAGATTAAGGAAAACGTTCAAAACTGGAAAATAATTGAGCATTTGGTACATTTAATAGGTACATATATTACGGAAAAAGATAAAAAATATGTATTTACCCATGACTCCATATTTGAAGTTGTAGCTCATCATTATGGAAAACAGTTTCCAGATCAGATCTTGGAGTATATGAATAGTACTTTTACTGCAAACAAAGTTGTTTTAGGCAACACAGAAACTGGAAACGACCTCTGTATCAAACTTAACAAGTCGCAATATGAAAATCTTGCAAGAAGATTGTACGTCGATGTAAAAGAGGGGAAATTACACGATGTCTTTTTAAATAGAGCCTTACTGGATTCCATTCTCAAAAAGCAGTTCATGAAAATATTGAAAAAACTACCATATGAGGAAGTCCGTTCTTCTTTTTTATTACCCAAAGAAGAATGTTTTGAAAGTATTATTCTTGACTCAAAGAAACATAGTGAAAACGAGAATGACGAAACAATGACACAGAGAGAGTCTGAAAGGCAGAACCTTCTTCTGGGCCTGAAATGCATTGAACAGCAGAAAATTTATGAAATACGTGCCATCAGTTTTATAATTTATTACGGTCATTTTGATTTACTGAAATATTTCGTTCAATTGGTGGTTAAGCATCATGAAGTCACAGACATTGTTTTTGGGTGTACACAGGAAGAACACGTGAGATTACTTGTTTTGGCATGTTATAATGGGAATTTAGACATGGTAAAATTCTTAATAGAAAATATTGGGGAAGGAAATATTAATAGAATGCCTGTGGAAGAAGTTTATCAATCACACAATCGACATAGATACATAACACCGGTGATTGCTGCTTGCTTGAAACTGAAACTTAAAGTTATAAAATATTTAGTTAATAATGGAGCAGATTTGAATGCCAAGAATTGTTTGTACCCTGCTTTGTGGACACCAGCTAGAATTGGGGACCTCAAATCACTTATAACATTAATTGAATTAGGTGCCAACTGTAAAAATTGCAGCAAAAGAGAAATTTCTCCCCTATATCTTAGGTCTCGATTTGGTCATGTTGATGTCGTTGAAAAACTAATTGAATACAGTGCTGACATCAACAAGTGTGAACTTCATGGTCGATCACCTTTGTTTATAGCATCATCAAAAGGTCATCTTCCTGTTGTAGAAAAACTAACACAGCAAAGCGCAGAGATCGACAAATGTGATATTCACGGACAGTCACCTCTACATCTAGCATCACAAAAAAGTCACTTACCCGTGGTAGAGACATTAATTCAGTACGGCGCTGAATGTGATCTATGCGATAAAAATAAGATAACACCTCTGCATAGAGCATCATTGAAAGGTCATAGTTTTATTGTAAAAAAATTAATGAAACACGGTGCAAATATTAAAAAGTGTGAAAATCATGGTCTATCACCTCTGTCCTTGGCGTCATGGAAGGGCCATCATCTTGTTGTAGAAATACTTATTGAGCAAGGTGCAGATATAAACTCGTGTGATATTTATGGTCAGTCATCACTTTTTCTAGCGTCTTCTGAGGGTCACATTCCTACTGTTTACAAACTTATTGAACGTGGTGCCGACATAAATAAGTGCAATACCGAAGGTCAAACACCTCTACATATAGCTTCATCAAAAGGGTATCTTCCTGTTGTAGAAAAACTTATTGAGGTTGGTGCAGAGATTGACGAATATGATATTCATGGTCAGTCATCACTTTTTTTAGCGTCCTCTGATGGGCATTTTCCTGTTGTTGACACATTTATTAAAAAAGGCGCCGACATTAATAAGTGCAATACTGATGAACAAACACCTCTCCATATAGCCTCATCAAAAGGGCATCATTCTGTTGTGGAGAAACTCATTGAACGCAGTGCAGACATCAATAAGTGTGATAAAAACGGTCAGTCATCTCTTCATCTAGCGTCACAGAATGGTCACTTACTCGTGGTAGAGACATTACTTCAGCACGGTGCTGAATATGATCTATGTGAAAAAAATGATTTAACACCCTTGCATAGAGCGTCATTGAATGGATATGCCACTATTGTAGAAACATTATTGAAAAATGGTGCCAACATCAACAAGGTTAACATATACTCACAATCATCTATGTTCTTTGCATCACTAAAAGGCCATCTTCCTGTTGTAGAAAAACTTATTGAAAATTGTGCCGCCATAAACATATGTGATATTCATGGTCAATCATCTCTTCATGTAGCCTCAAGGCATGGTCATTTGTCAGTTGTGGAAACATTAATTTTGCATGCTGCTTGCTATGTTGATGATGTAAATAATATGACACCTTTACATAATGCGTCACTAGAAGGCCATGCCTCCGTTGTTGAAGAATTAATTAACTATGGTGTCGACATCAACAAGCGTGATAGACATGGAAGGGTAGCCCTTCATTTAGCATCATCTAAAAGCCATCTTCTTGTTGTAGAATCACTTATTGAGAATGGTGCCGACATCAACATGTGTGATTTTCACGGTCAGACATCACTGCATTTAGCATCACAAAGTGGTCATTCTGTTGTGGTAAAAACATTAATTCGGAACGGGGCTGAATGTAATTGCTTTGATAAAAACAAACTCACACCTCTTCATAAAGCGTCCTTAAAAGGCAATTCTCGTGTTGTAGAAGAACTTCTGGCACATGGTTCTGATATCAATATGGTTGATATGAATGGCCAATCATCCCTATACTTAGCATCAACAAATGGCAACCTTACTGTTGTAGAAATACTTATTCAGCAAGGTGCCGACATCAACAAATGTGATACTAGTGGCCAATCTCCTTTACATCTTGCGTCGTCAAAAGGACATCTTTCTGTTGTAGAAATACTTATTCAGCAAGGTGCCGACATCAACAAATGTGATACTAATGGCCAATCTCCTTTACATCTTGCGTCGTCAAAAGGACATCTTCCAGTTGTAGAAATACTTATTCAGCAAGGTGCTGACATCAACAAATGTGATACTAATGGCCAATCTCCTTTACATCTTGCGTCGTCAAAAGGACATCTTCCAGTTGTAGAAATACTTATTCAGCAAGGTGCCGACATCAACAAATGTGATACTAATGGCCAATCTCCTTTACATTTTGCTTCATTAGAGGGACATCTTATGCAGACTAAATTGTAGAATGTGGTGCTGACATCAAGTAGTGTGACATATATTGTTACTCAGCACTACCTTTAAGGATATAAAATGATCATCTTCCTGTTGTATAAAAACTTAATGAAAACAGTGCTGACACCCACGCGTGTGTTCTGCATTCAGCGTCACAAAATGGTTCGTTGTCTGTTGTGGAAACGTTAATTCGACATGGCGCTTGCTGTGCATATGCTAAATATTATAATTTCCTGCTCTTAAAGAATTATTAAAAAAAAGATGTCGACCTTAACAAGCGTGAAATACATGGAAGGACACCATTGTATTTAGCATCATCAAAAGGCCGTTCTCCCATCGTTTAAAAAATTTATTGAGCAGGGTGCCGACATTAAGTGTATATCTTTAACAGGGTTCTCTACATCTAGCGTCGCAAAATGGTCATTTATCCGTTGTAGAGACATTCAGCACAGTGATTAATGTGATCTTTGCAAAAAATACATTAACCCACTTTCTAGAGAGCATTATTGAATGGCCATCCTACTATTGAAGAAAAATTATTGGAACATGGTGTCGAAATTAACAGAGTTGATATAAAAGGTAAATCACCTTTATTCTAGCATCTGGGAGAGGCAATCTTCTTGCTGTGCAAAGACCTATCAAGCATGGTTATCAACAAATACGATACCCGTAGAAGTTAAAATTTATATACTTTAAGTTGACGAAAGACCACAATTCTGTTTAAGAAAAACTTAATAAACGCGGTGAAGATAAAAACCTTTTTCTATATACTGTCGGTCAAAACGTGTATTTTTCATTAAAGGATATGAATGTTTCCGTTGTAACTGTATAAGCTGAAACGTAATACTGTCTTTTTCGAAAGTAATGCATGACCTTTACATCACTAGAGAGAGATCTGTTTCTGTTTTAGAAAAAAAAATATATAAAAATATTTTGTCACAGTTATTGTAATATGAATTTTATCTTTTATACTTACATTGTATGTTATGAAAAAACTTTGATTGTTTACATTGAATATGGCATTAGAATAATTTAATGGGCTTGTTTTAGTAAAAGAATGAACATAAGCTGAAATTTCTGTCCTAAAATTTATAAGAATAAGGAATTTCCTGTACATTATTTCTTTAACAATTTTAAATGGCATGCATTAATGAAGAACAATTATGATCTTTTAAGAGGGTCCCGACCCTCTGCTATAAATTTCACTTTAGGAAATTTAAAATTTGTAATAATGATTTTCATAAACAACAATAACAATAGAGCCACATGGAAAATAGTTTGAAGTATGAAGCGCTGCTTATTTTTTCAGAAATAATTTTTATTTCAGATCATGAAGAAATTGAACGCAGAGAACAGAAAGTTAAACGATTTATTATCACAGCAATAAATTTAATATATGAGGTGCATACGAAAATAATACTTTGTATCATACCTATAAAATTCATGTTAGAAAACATCATGAAGTGATGCTTCCTAAGTCAGAAAATAATATGTTGTACATGTATGTGGTTGTAAGAAAAAATTCATGGTAGAGGAGGAGTTATCTTTCTTCTAAATATTTCCTCATGTAAAAAAAGTCATACTAATAATAATGCTTTATTAAGAACTTGAAACATTAAACCATTTTTAAAATGGTCCTTAAAAGCTACAACTTATTCAATTCATAAGTCTTTTGATGTTAGATTTAGACGTTTTATGGTTAGACATGATAAAACAATAACGAAGAAATAAGCAAAAGAAATAGAAAGTAATGTTTCCATTGTAGGTAAGATTACACGAAATTAACTTCTCAGAGGTCTTAATAGGGAAACTTTGATTAAGAAAACTGTGAGTAGTATTCATAGTTTGTACTTTGAAGTTATCTCTCTTATCAGAGGGTCGATACCTCTTTACCTTTATTTTTTGTGTTTTGTTAACTAATTATTATTTGTTTTCAATTATTGTTTTATTCATTCATTGAATGAATGGAGGGGTATCTATACAGACATATGTATTGGAGAGATACATATTATAGATATTATACTGAGTTTATGATTTTTTTTGAACACATTTTAGTTAAATGCTTGAAATGTTATATTGTTTTTAAATAAATGGAGACAATGGCATACATTAATAATCCATAGATTTTTTTTTCAAATAACAATGATATTATTTTTTAATTTTTTAGTACATGTAGTGAATTGTAATATCAAGATTGAGTTACTCGGTAATAAATAGTTGGTTTTTCTGCTCTTCAGTCCATCATATGTGTTTTCATATGAATTGAAGTTTTTTAAAGCATCAATATTTACTTGCTTATCTCCATACGTCGAGGGTTCTGAGCCCAGTCCTCCGGATGAGACAGTATAAACCGAGGTTCCATGTAGGACTACATGTAGGTGTAGGAACGAAAATGATTCCTCAACGTTCAATGGTCGTAAGTGCCTAGTATAGGACAAAATTTATAGCTCTACATTGGCAGGTTGTGGCGTCCACATATGAGTGAAACATTTTCGAGAGGAACGTACAAGCAAAAAAAACAAACACTCAATATTTGAGCAACATTCCTCAGGCTTTGAGTTCTATCATCTGAATAAGAGGTGCAATAACAAGAAACCGTAATGTGTTTTTAAGACGTTAATAATAAGTTACAAGGTCGAATAATATTGGAAGCATACATGTATCTGCAAACAGTTAAAGCAGTTTTAAATTATCAGCGAGGTTTAGTGACAAGTGACAATACAAAGTGTGTGCGTAACTTTTACATACTCATTATAATTGACGTCAACATACATTACGTAAGAATTGAGTATAACATATATATTTATGGTTATACGTTTTATGTCTATTTTCTAAAGAAAAATATAAGCGAAAGTGTAAATGAATTATAGATAACATTTTACACTTTAAAACCAATTCGTGTATTTTATAGTACACTGTACATGCCCTTCGGCAAGTAGCTTTGCCTTTAATAGTAAAGGCTGTTTTGAAAATAATTGACCAAAATGTATTTAAAAAATTAAGTAATTACCGGACTTTTTGGATCAATAATAGAAGTGGGTTCTGTCATACTGCAAAAAAGTACATATGGATTTGTGTGGCTTTTTATTATGACGTAGACAAAGTATATAATGTTTAATGTGTAGTCCTTAAAATGATAGCTAGTTTATGACCCTTTTGTATATAAAGGGTGTTAAGAAAGTTCATTTCGTGATTTACAAATACATTTATTAATCATAAAAAACTAATGTGCCAATTTTTTACTTATAATAACCAGACAGTCCACCAATTTTTCTCAGAACTATTTGGCATTGAATGTATTAATGAAATCAAATGTTTCTGAGGTATTTCCCTCCATGCACGTTGAAGGCGGCGACCTAATTGTAGCATGGACGTTGGGTGCAGATCCTTGTAGGCCTCACTGTCCAGGATAATTACAGATTTTCTACGCAGTCTAGGTCTGGAGAATTGCCAGGCCATTTTCTCTTTTGAAATAAAGTTTGGTAAATTATTTTTACACCAATTCCGTCTTACCAGGGGCAGTATGAGGTGTCGTCCCATCTTAAACAAGCGTAGCGCGTCCCGGATAGTAGACATACCTCCAGACCTAAACTGCGTACAAAATCTATGAAGTATCCTGGACAGTGAGACCTACAAGGATGAGGTAGGTCCAGTACACGATGTTGTTTCGATATTGTCGACATCGCTGTAAAATACCAGTCCTCCTTATATCATAACATATTCAACATGACAATGTTTGATAATACTACGGAAACTTATAACCGCCTCGTGTTGTTGTTTTAGAAGGCGATATTATGATATAAAAATGTTGTAAAATACAATTGCTTCAATGTTTGGCGATATAATTAGGACAACAATCTCTGATGAATAATACTTTTCTGATATGTTTTAGACGACTAATACGCTTTGATATATCCAAGTTGAATTCCTAAATGTCGCACATAAAATAATATGTAAACATTATGCCGCTAAAATCAGATATCGAAGACTTTAGTGCAATTTTACATATATGAAGACTTCATTTAGACGACTCGATTTCATCAAAGAGAATAATTCAACAAAATTCGAACGACTTGCAATATCAGATTTATACAAGATTAATGATTTTATCAGTCCAACCTGGGCTCTTAGAGGAGAAAAATGTTTTACAAACAGAAGAAGGAGGAGGATCCAGTTGAAAGAACAAGCATGATCTTACATATAATGAGAGCAGTTGATAAAAATGTACTAATATATAAGAGATATACTGAATATACATACATGTATAGTGTATATGTTATAGCAATATTATAGTCAAAGGCAGGAAACTGGGAAAAATACATATATGCATATCAAAATATCCTCAATTTAGGTAGATCACCAAGGAATCAAGCCATTGATTTAAGAATGTCAGGGTCTCAATTAATCATGCACCAATAAAATTGATTGTCATAAAAAAGAAAATGAAAATTTTTACATTTAATTTTGCAAATATTTAAAAGTTCAAGTTCAAGTCTTTTTACATTAAGATGAGGACCATACAATGAGAAAATGAATCCCGTCCATAATATATATTTCACTGAATTGATGTCTGATTTAAATAAAATAATTCAAACAGTTATAGGATATCTTGCATGCTCTTCTCTAAACAAAAAATCTTATGAATATTGCTTCAAAGGACAGTCACTATATTTGGTAATACTTGTCCACTATTCAATGCAAACTATGATAACAATATCTTTAATCATGTTCCTATCTTGGAGAACATATGCATACATATATGCATTTAATATTTTTGTCTGATGTGATGTCATGCATCAAATATTTCTTCACGTCTGCACATACTCTATATTTTATAGTTATGTGTTGATTGATAAAATGAATGAAATAATTTGCATTTTATCCTCTTTCTTTTTCTTATTAGTTAGTGTTGTCACAGATACAATTTTCCTTCCAATCATGTTATGAATCATTTTTTAAATTCAGATTTATGTTATTATTTTATATAATCATATACATTTTATGAAGTTGCT